ACGTGAACAAAACGTGACGCTATGGCTCTGATTTCTCCCGTGTGACAGGCTGCTGGAGTCGAGTAGGCGTGTGCCATAAAAAGTAGTGCTGAATTTGGATACCCTTCAACGGGCAGAGCGTTTATTGTAATCGTGAAGGAGCGAGTGGCTTGGTCGTTCACAGAAACCGTCTGTCCTGCGTAGCATCGCTTCGCTGCGGGACCCTCCCGGCGGACGAGGTTCTCTGCCACGCAGTATCGCGTGCCTGCCGCTGTGAACAACTGGAACGTTCGCCCGCGCCTTTTCGCAGATAATAAATGGACTCGGATTCAGTGATGGGTCAGTCAGGTCCTTAGGCTCAGTGAGGGTAAAGGGCGAGGAGTGCCGAGGAGCTCAGTGGCAGCCGCCGGCCGCGGCAGGGTCCGATACCTGCCCGTCATACACGCGATTTCGAACAGCAAAATCAAGATGTTGCAGATGACTGAACTAGAAAAGGTATCAAAGTGGTGCTTGGGAATTGTAATATCACCCGCGCCGCCTTTTTTCCTGTTCTCCTCTCACTACTTTTCCGCTGACGTCCTCCTCGCTCCCCTCCCGTTATCCGGCCTGTTTAACTCCTCGACTGCCCTCAGCCTTATCACGGACTTGCTGCTCTGTGAGAACCATTTCTTTTCTGTCTCGCGGAGTGACTTCGCTCACAAATCAACGCGCTTATTACCCAGTCACGCGCTTGTGGGTTTGGAATCCGGGCACGCGTGCTTGTTGACCGAAGCTCTGCCAGATAACCCCGATTAGAGCCAGTATGAGTAGAACACCCCTCAGGGACGGCGATACTGGGTTGCAGCAGTCATGTGGGAAGCAGCTGTCACCAGGCCGTGACCAGCAGCAGTCCCAGTGACGTCACCGCGCGCCTCCTCCGCTCCGACCCCTGCGCCCGTTCACCTGTCGGCCGCGCGGGCGGTGCCCCCGCTGCCAAGCGGTCCGTGGGAGCCGCCGCCGCCGCTACGGCGCCTCTCGCTGGCCACCTGGCGGCGCACGCCCCACGCGCGACGCGTTCCGACCCGCACGGCGTCGTGACGTCACCGCACTGTACGCACATTCGCATACTGCGCGGCGGTGCACAGTGGGCTAGGCGGGCGTGAAGACAGACGGTTTAGGAAGTAGCTTGTGCCATGTTGGGGCTGTAAGAACTTCTGGAAAAGCTCTCCCATTTGATATCAACGTCGTAACTAAGCGTGAGCAAGCGAGGTGCGAGCGCGGACACACTATGTCATGCGTGTTTTATCCTTGATTATGTCGTGCATTAAACTGGGCCAGATTCTTCCAGCTGATCCATGGAAGGAAGGTGGTGGAGGTACTGCACGAACTTCCACTGACCTCGTATTTTTTAACGTTTAATGATCGAAGACGTGCGTTTCTGGCTGGTGTATGTGAAAACCTTATCAGGGAAGCATGCTCCCCTGTGCTCTCCCCCTCCTACGATTTTATATACCTACCACTGGTCACACGACTTTTCCAGCATTATGCCCCCCCCCCCCCTCCGTGCCATTGCTCCGCGGTGCAGCGCGCGACTAATGCCCGTTGCGTTCCTGGGAGCGATACCAGCATAAATGGTCTCCCTGATGGGGCCCTTGACATGGCGGCGGCGCGTACCCGGCGACCTCCCGTCACGCTTCATGCGCCGGAAGTGGCCCGGCTCGCCGCGGTGGGGAGGGGGCAGGAGACGCCTCGCAGGGGGCCGGGAATGTCGGCGTCGGGACGCCCGCCGCTCGCTGAGCTGGCGGACGGCAGCGCGGCGGCGGGCAGGGCCGTCCGGCTCGAGCGTGTGCAGCCGGCGCTGATGGCAGCGGCGCACCCGGGGAAACACAGGCCTGGGTCGCGCCGTGGACGGCCGGCGCCGTCTGCAAAGATGCATGATGCGTTTGTAGCAGATGTTGGAGCACGTGGTCTTCTCGGGGGAAGGAACGAAAATAAGTCTGCCACCTTTTTAGGTTTTGAAAGCCTGCCCGCCCCACCCCGCGTGTGGAGGTCGCTATGAAGGTCGCTTATCACAAGTATACTGTTTCGGGATATGTACGACCTGCTATATTTTAAAAGGGTTTGGTTTCTAGTGATAACGAGGCAAGACGCGTCATTGAAGTGCGACCATCAATAAATGTTCAAATAATGGGGTCACTTCACCTCCGAAGAAAAATACTAGAATCAGACAAGCACTAGGTGACATTTTAAGATCGGAATGACATGTTCTGTATGCTGAACATCGGTGTTCTATATTCTGAAGTACAAGTTAGATCCGAAACACGTAATCAACCAGTTGTGTTGAAAGTATTTGGTGGGGCGCCACGGGGAGGATGGTTGGTACGCCCGCTCCACCTCCTCGACAATCCTGAAATGAAACATTGCGCCTTGCAGGCGCAGAATGGTAGTCTGTGTTGGACGGCATGAAACCTGGTACCGTTACCAACACCAGTTAAATTTACATGCACCCTAGCATCAGGGGTGGTACCAGTACGGGGTCGGTACCAGTTTTCTATGCAGAAACATTGCATTTCAAATGTTTTCCACGTAGAAGTCGAAGCACTCGCAGTCAAGTTTTACCGTGAATATGCTTGGTAACTACTTCTTCTGCCTTTGGTGCAATTTTTTATGTTTTCAACTGACTTGCGGAGTGGCTAGTCTGACTTGCGGAGTGTTTTCCCCCAAGGCAGGAGATGCACCGGCCCCAGCTGTCGGTCAGCGAGGTGACCATTCACAGGCCGCGCTCTGTGACGCGGGCTCTGAGTCACACCGAGTGCGCCTGCTGTCAGGAGCGCGGCTGGGCCGGGTGGTTAGCGCCTCAGCTCCCACGTGGGGCCCGGGTTCGAACCCCGTTGCGCCAAGGCCCCTTAGCGCGAGTGGGACATTGGCAGTTGCTAGCGCCCCGTAGAAAGGCACGCGACGACGCGCGTCGCGTTCCCTTTAAAGGGGATTGGCCTCCTGCTGCGTAAGGGATGCTAACTGTGTCGGCGGGCACCTGCCAGCGTCTGTCAACTACATAGCTGGGTCGGCCGGCACCTGGCAGCGTCAGTCAACTACATAGCTGGGTCGGCCGGCACCTGGCAGCGTCAGTCAACTACATAACTGGGTCGGCCGGCACCTGGCAGCGTCAGTCAACTATATAGCTGGGTCGGCCGGCACCTGGCAGCGTCAGTGATCTACATAACTGGGTCGGGCGGCACCTGGCAGCGTCAGTCAACTATATAGCTGGGTCGGCCGGCACCTGCCAGCGTCAGTCAACTACATAACTGGGTCGGCCGGCACCTGGCAGCGTCAGTCAACTACATAGCTGGGTGGGCCGGCGCCAGGCAGCGTCAGTCAACTACATACAAACATTGTTTATTTCTAATAATATTATGGGTGTGCATATGGCGTGATCAGTGGCGAGCACCTGAACAGCGGCGACCCCGTGACGAGTAGCTGGCACGTCAGCAGCGGCGGACGTGGATGATCTGCGTCCATCCCCGCAGCTGGCGCCAGCGCGCCGGCCACCGCCCGTCCGGCATGAAGGGAAAGCCCCAGATAGGAGGTGCAGCCTGCTCGTGCTGCGACTGCACCGGCCGCCGCGGGTGGCCAGCCTCCCCGGCTCGTGGCATCATGGCGGCTGGCTGTGTGTGGTTTCGGCGCCGTTCGCGCTCCAGGGCTGTCGTGCGGGGTTAGCCGATTGCTTCGTTCGCCCGTGCAGGAGGGGGGGGGGGGGGGGGGCGAATGTACGCCTGCCACGTCTGCCGAGCCCAGCCCGGTAGTGGCCTCGGCTGCGTGGTGTCGCAATCCCAGCCGACGTGTCGAGCGTTGTTGTGGCCTGTCGGGTCCCGCATGTTGCGGCGTGTGCGTGTGACGCTTCGGGACTTAGTGCCAGTCACCGTGACTGTCGCAATCGCCACTAATTAGCCGAATGCGGGTGAATCAGGCTGGGGCGACCCGCACGGCCACGTATGCCGCAGCGCGCGGCGCTGAGCCAACCGCGCCGCCCCGGGCGGGACGTAACGCCCGGTCACCCTCGGGCCCGACCCCTCGTATTACGCACGGGCTGGCCAGGCTCAAGGTCACGCTGTGAGGAGCGGCGGTGGGCGCCCGGTCGCCGCTGCGGGACGCGCGTGGCACGTGGCGGCCACCTCAGAGATATTTGGGGTATCGCCAGCAATTCGTGTGGAGATGTTGTCCTATGTGGCGTAGTTTTTTTCTAAGAGGTTTGTTTCAGTCTAATGTCACGTTGCGTAATGCAGGCCGAGACGGAAACCTCCAGAAAGTTCGGGAGTTCGGGACTGGTCCTCAATCCATTTTACCGCGCCATACTGCCGCAACGTCGCAACGTCATAACGATAACGACGCCACAATGCCGTAGTGGGTAGGACTGACAACATGCTGACTGAGCCCAGCTGCTTTCTGGCTGTCCGTTCCTACCTCTCTGTACGTGCCCCTCCCTCCTGGCCGAGGGGTTGGTGCGGCAGGACCGCCTGACGGACAGGGTCGGGGCTCGACCGAGAGACCAGGGGTCATGCATGAGGTCATCCGGCGTACGGGGCGGTGCTGGATGTCTGGTGACCGCGCACAGTGTAGTGTCCAAGTGCACATGCTGTTTTGACGGAACTTGGCGACGTTTCCGAAACGCGTATTTGTGGCGTTTTGCTTATGTAGCCGCTGTAATATTTTGTTTTCCTTTGCCACAGCTCACCTTGATTGACCCGCTCCACGCCCAGTACTTTATTCTATATCATCTTCTTGGTTGGACTCATTTTGACCGTTTGTATGATCTTGTGCAATTTTATTCTAATTTTTGTATATGAACCGCATACGTCATATGTATGAGCTCCGTGATAAGCGTATGTGGGTGGATCTGTTTGAGTTTGAGTCCAGCGTGTCAGGTCCTGCGCGTCCGCCCTGGTAGTGTGGAGGACGGCCGCTGTGCTTGTGTGCGTGTCGAGTCACCCACGCCCGCTGCTGCGGCCGGGCCACTGAGCGGCGCCCGTCTCGCCTGCCGGCAGGAGAGGCCGAGGAAGAGGAGGAGGAGATCGAGGAGAGCGCCGAGAAGCAGCGGTCGCTGTCGCGCGGCGAGCGCTCTCACCTGATTGTGTGGCAGGTCACGGTGCCCGACTAGTCGCGCCGTGTCGCGTCACGTCGCGTACGCTATTTATTGCAGCTCTCTACGGCGGAGGTGGTCGGCCTGTACGGCGCCGGCCCCCTGTTAACGGGACGAACGCGTGTCGGGGTCGCGCCGGGCTGTGCGCGAGCTAAGCAGTTGTAAGCGTTGCTGCTGGATTTTTTCACTTTGCCTTCAGTGTGGTAGCCAGCTCTAGCAAGGACCTTGAGTGTCGGTAGTGTTTTAGGCGATTGTTCGCCCAGCCGGCGGCCGGCGACTGGACGGCGGGCGGGCCATCGTCGTCCGCCTGAGGGCGCCGGCGGCGGCGGGCCGTAATCTAGTCGGAGCGCGACCCATGGGCGTGACCTTGTGACCCCGGGATCAGCCGCGACGCCCCTTCCGGCCGGCCGACGTGCCCTGCCGTCAGGTTTCCGGTCGCGAAGTACGGGTTATACGGGCCGAATCGAAGATTGGCGCCAGGCCTTTGGTGAAATTTGTAATGCAAGCCACGTGCTGGTATGGCAAAGGGGCCGTGCATCGACCGCTCCCGCTTGACGCCATCTTGTTTTTTTACCGCCGCTGAGTAGCCGTTGCGCCAGCGGAATCCCCCTGCGATGACTTTGAACGTGAGCCCCGCTGGGTGACTTAACCATGCAACACTGTAATCAAGTGAAGCCGGACGCGGGAAAGGGAAGGGCGCTGGCCGACGACGGTGTGGCGTTTCCTGGCCGGGGGCGTGGTGGCGGCTCAGCAGGCTGTCAGGACTACAGCCGCCGCAAGTCGGCGTCGCACGGCGCCGGTGTATCCGACACATTCCCCCGGCGTCACGGCCCCTGTGGGCGGGCCGATGTTGGTCGTTTGGTTTATATATTTTATGCGTTTTAGGCCGGGCGTCACCAGTGCAGTGGCCGGGCGGTGCGGCACGCTAGCTTGCGCTGTTCGCTGTGGGGTGAGCGCTGCAGGACTTGGCGCCCGCAGTCTGGCCCGGCGCCATGTCGCAGTGTTGTTTACGCAAGCAAATTATTCGCGACTGTGGCCCACAAACAGACATGTAGTAACGGCACCAGCGCGTCCGTGCCCGCTCAGTGATAGCCTGTCGGCCGCCGTGTCCAGGGCGGCGGTGCTCCTCTGGGTCCGCGCGGCCGGCTGGCCCCATCCGAAGCCGCCCGGCGAACGGGACCGCCGCCGTCTGTCCGTCGCGGCGTGGTGCTGTGGCGTGGCTTCTGTTGAAGTGTGAATGCTGCGGCGGCGTCGGCCCGCGGACGACGCGTCTGAATACATTATGCGGTGTAATAGGTTCCCGTGTTTGTGGGAGCGGCGGCCGCGCGTGCTGGTCTGGGGAGCACCGGTCGTCACGCCAGCAGCTGGCGCGAAGTCGCCACAACTGCAGCGGTAGCTGGCCGGGTGTTCCGTAGTCATGGAAACGAAATCAATACAAATACACGCGAGTGACATGTGGCACACTGCGTCGCACCTTGCTAAGTTATATCAGAATTGTACTCTATCGTTTGTACATATGTATATATATATATATATATATATATATATACATATATTTGATATCAATGGAGCTTGGGGTTCGTGTCCGTAAGGTCTCTAGCTAACTGGCACAGGTGTTTGCACTCACAGTGCCGCTACCAGCTACTGAATGCCAGCATACTGCCATCGCGAGCGAGCTCCGGTCTCGCAAGCGTCTCACACCATCCTGCCTTCGCAATTTTTAGTTTGCGGCCGCATACTGTACATTTTGATATGTGAGCTCCGTGACGCAGCGCACTGCTGTTGGTGGATTAAGATCCCCTTATCAGAATGTTGGCGGAAGTGTTGATCGAACGAAACTTTGCTTGCTTGCGCAAGAGAGTTAGAAGGCTACCAGGCTCTAGGCTGCCGTCACCGATTCTGATACGCCTGTCAGTTTTACCGCATTTCTTTGCGGGTGAGCAAGACTGCACTAACCAATGCGTCAGCTCGATTGGTACCCAGGCGGGAGTAGTTCTATGGGTTGATAAGGAGGCTATGGTAATAGCCTTATACCTCAGAGAAGAAAAAAAGGATATCTAGATGGGTTGATATCTTGGCAGCATGCCTTAATCGAAGCAAAAGCAGAAGTGAATTTAAAATTGCCTGCCGATCATCCTACTCAATTTGTGAAAAAAATAAACAGCAAGCCACAGCTTTTACAGGACACCAACATTCAGGCGATTAGACAAAGAGCAATTGACGGCCACTACCACGATACAGTGCATATCCAAGAGGAAGAATACGGGAAAAACATTTACATGCAAACGAATTCAAGCAAACAGTCATCACGTATCACGCTTCATTCAAACATGCAAGCGAGTTGAAGTAAAAGGGCATCCCATATCACGCATCAATTATACATGCCAGCGATTTCAGTTGAGCAGGCATCGCACATCACGCATCAGGCCTCACTTACACATGTACACTATTTTAAGCTATTATGCATCACGCATTAAGGCACATATCGCGTTCGCATGATCGGCCCTGATGAGCTCTGTGGGTTGAGATTTGATCGTCGACTTATGAGAACGAATTCACTTATTCTGGCTGGGTGGTCCTGTGCTCTGTAGTTGACTTTGAGTTCTAAACGGGGCATTGGGTCCATATCTGCCACGATTTAAGTTTGAGCGTGTTTTGCCAAAAATGGTCGCCGAAAGGGTTATTCCCATGTTTTGTTTTTAGCGTCTCGTATGTGTTCATTATATATGAAACGAATAGGGCCCACGGACACAAGACTTAGACTATGTCCCTTCCATATTTTTCACACAGTTTGCAAACCGCTTGAAACCCACACTTGCTTGGATGGCATCTATTGCCACCCGGGCATTTAGACTTCGAGATGAAATATTTCATCACATACTTTTTGGTTTATTGTCGTTCTTCCCAGCTATGCGTACGCGCAGTTTTGGATTCTTTAACGATGTGTTTGATTTTCCAAAGCAAGTGCTTATCTATATAAGGTAGCGTTAAGAATCTGTCGTCCGATGGTATGTGTTACCGCCTCCTATCACCCATCCCCCACGCCCTGTACATTTTTTTTACTTCTGATATTCTACCTAAAAGTCGCGGAGAGTGTCCATTGCCCAACATCAAAGTCAAGATTTGTATTATGCTCTTTCTTTCCGTGTTCACTACTTGACTTGTTTAGGGTGCAATCGAACATGTTACGAATTATGTTGCACTTAGTGGAAGCTGGGGGTGCAGATTCGCAGTGTGGAATTATACCAGAATTGGTGGGTTTGATAAAAAGCCCCGTTTCCAACGTTGTGCGGTTGTTTCTCCTTTCCACCATCAGTAGTGTATCTAAATATGGGACGCCCTTTCCGCCCCCTGTATGCTCCAGCGTAAAAGCTAGATTTGGATGCTCGTTGTTCATGAACTCTAAAATCTCAAGGACACGCTCTCCGTGCGTCCATACCCCAGCATTATCATCGATGTATCTGGCTAAGAAAGTTGGCTTCAATGGGCTGGCTCCGTTTTAGACTGGTCTAAAAGTATTAGCGGCAGAGGAGGAGTGTATGGGCTCCCCATTGCAATTTTTGTCGGCAGAAGTTATCTCCGAACGGGAAAATATTATCCTGAAGACACCGTTCTTAAAGACCGCATACATCCTCTTGTGACAGACCAAATGCACCAATTTCATGGAAATGTTTGTCTACCTCAGGTTTCACGGCAGCGATAGCCTCATTGACTGGTATATTGCCATACAAGTTGATAACATCTACACTGAAGAAAGTGCTGCCCTCTGCCCTTTGCCTGCGAATGATCAGAAGCCTTTTGCAAAAATCTGCACTGCAGGTTTGTGATTCTTGGGCAGCCGATAGCAAACAGGCGTTCTACTGTGTCTAGATGTCAGATCTGATGCTTTTAACGGAAGTTTTCCGCTAACTGTGCTCTTATGTTTGTTTGTTTTTGTTCAGCCTCTACCTGACGGGCTGGGTTCCTATTTATTCTTCCATAATTGCCGCAGTCGTCAAGTGTACACTGAGTCTTGTTAACATAAGTTAGCCTATCTAAGAATACAAAGCCCTTACACTCATCGCTATGTTTAACTATGATATGATCATTTTTACTGAGGGACGTGATAAACTTCCGCTGATCTGCAGTGGCATTTAGTTTGCCTACATTATGGCTTTTGAACGTGAGCGGTGCGTCATCCTTCAATTTCTGTAGGCTGACTTCTGCATCAGTACTGCAATGTTCCGGAAAGCTCTGACCAAAGTCTGAAAATCTAAATAACGGATTTCTAAAATTTGAATTTAAACTTAACTTTTTATTATTCGATTTTTTCTAGGCCAATCTAAACAACAGACAGGAAAGGAAAGAGAGAGCATGTGCAAAATATGGACTTTGCTGTTGGACAATGGATGTTTTTCCCGAATTTTGGATAGAATGTTGTAAGAAAAGAAACAATCTAGAGCGCGCGGGGGGATTGGTGATACGAGGCGGGAACACGTTCTATCGGACGACAGATTCTTAATGCTACCTTACATGGATGAGCATTTCCTTTGCAAGATCAAACACGTCGTTAAAAATCAAAACTACTTGTACGTATAGCTTGGAAGAACGGCAGTAAGTTAAAAAATTGGGGTGAAACTTTGCATCTCAAAGCTTAAGGTACCGGGTGGCAATAGATGTAATTTATGCGAGTGGGGCTTCAAGGGGTTTGTGCGCAAGAAGATGGTTTACGAAGCTATGTGTAAACTGTGTGAAAAGCATGGGAGGGGCATAGTCTATGTCGGGGAGTTCATGCGCCCTATTCTTTGGAGATGTAATGAATACCTGCGAAACGTTAAAAACAAAGCAGGGAATGACCCTTTTGGTGATCACTATTTGGCAAAACACGCTCAGGCTGAAATCGAGGGAGGTATGGGCACTTTGCACCTTTTAGAACACAAAAGTCAGCTACAGACTACATGGCCACCCAGACAGGAAAATAAGTGAATCTGCTCTTATAAAAAGTCGGCGATCAAACCTTAACGTACAGAGCTCATCATGGCCGATTGTGCGAACGTGATATTTGCCGCGATGTGCGATGTGTAATGGCTTAAGCCGTTTACATGCGTAAGTGATGCCTGACGCGTGATGTCTGACGCCTGTTTCCCTCAACTCGCTTGCGTGTTTCAATGAAGCGCGATGCGCGATGCCTGTTTTCTTGAATTCGTTTGCATGTACACGTTTTTCGCGCATTCTTATTCCTGGATATGCACTGTATCGCGGTAATGGCTGTCAATCGCTCTGTGCCTAATCACCTGAATGTTGGTGTCCTGCAAGAGCTGTGGCTTGCTGTTTCAAAGAAAGACCTGAAAATGTGAATCCAAAGCCTGAAAAGCCTGAAATCTATGCGAATAATGCTCCTCGGAAATGTACTGAACAACTTACGTAGTTCTACGGATTGGTGTCATGATATCGCTTGGGAATATGGGTCGGGTGTGGCTTTTAAGGGACAGGTGTGAGGGTGGTCTGAATGGGTGTTTCCGAATGAGGGATCAGTGAATCAACGATAGAACTTTCAGGCACAGTGGGGTGCAAGAGGCGTGAATGTGATACTTTTGGGAGAGGAAAGGCTACCTGTGTATGACAGTGGTCGACGCAACGATCTTGGCTAAACCGTGTTTTGTTGTTTCTGTAACGACACAACGAGACCGGGGACAAATCAATACGGGAACCAGGTTCCCGTGATGCATGACGCATACCATGGCGCTGTTACACTTAGAACGAGTCCAACCCAGTTTCCATGCGACACCACTTATTGATCATAAGTGGAAAAGGACGATCGTGTCGATGCATGTACTTTTTAATTCATGCACAGCCGGAGCAGTTCTGATGCTGTAGGTCATTTTATGCTTCTTCGGTATCCAGCGTATGCGTGGAAGGTCCGCAAGTGCTGGCGTGCAGTGCTGACCGGTCGATCGCTACATCGGGCCATATCGGTATCGCTGGGAACGATTTCGGCAAATTCACAGGTAACATTATCGGTTAATGTTTGTCACTAAAGCTGACAATTTTGCTACGATAATATATTGTGTGAAGTGAAGTGAAGTATTCAACCTAGATACCTGTAAAATGTTGTGTTCGCCATGTCTTAGATTCTCAATGTCGTGCAGTGAGGCACGGCTCAAGGAGCCCAAAGCCAGCAAAGACATCGCGACTGCTGTGGGCGCACTGTTTTGAATTTACTTGGTTTGTCTGGTTTGAGCTGGGTGCTAAACATAAGAGACAGATGTGTTGAACAAAAGGGAACCGACAAATGAGCAGCACATTTACTTT